GACTACTACGCGTGTGGGGAAAAATGTCCATTTAAAAATCGATCGTAGGCGGGTAATAAAAATTTCTTGAGGGGTTTAAATTGGACTAGTCAGTAGCGTAAACGCTACAGCGCCATGTTTTAGAAGAAAACACAGACTCGGATTGAGAATCACATTTGGTGTAATGGATCTTTATCTACATATATGATTTATGAGGTTATGTAATTGTTTATATTTATGTTTAATTATATTATATTTATATTTATGTTATTATATTTAACAATGTTAAAATAATTGTATAGTATGTCTATGATTGCCGTAAGTCAATTAAACCAGGTTAATTTTTCTATGCACACCACATAAATTTTCATTAAATAACACTGGTTAACTTTAAAACATGGCGGAACGTCTGCGCGAACGAGATGCGCGTACTTAATTTTCCATGGAGAGTGGGCATTCTAATTGTTTATTATTCTGTGTCTCATACTACTGGTGATGTCCATGGACTGTTTGATGATTCGATTACACCTTGTTTGTTCATATCTTTGATGATGTCTTCGGCTTCATCTCTTTTTGCAAATGGAAGTCGTCTTGAAATTCTATCAATATAGACTTCACTTTTTTAGTTCGTTCATCATCAAGATCTTGGCACGTTTTAATCACCATCTCGACAAGCTCCTTTGGATACTTAGATTTCGATGGTTTCTTATTAGTATTCATAGAACAAATCGAAGCCACGGGAACACACTGTCCGATCAAAGTTCTTTTACTTAACTTAATAGCAGTTTCCTTTAAATATATAACTCTTACAGGAACGACATCTCGAATTCTCAGCAAAGCTTTTGCCATTAGGGACTCGGCATTGTTCACATCTTCAATCATCCTTAAACTTCCCTCTCGACAGTAACCATCAGGTCTGGTCATCAAAATTTTCTCACTATTACCGTGTATTGTTACGTCACAAGTAGTTATTAAGCTGATAACATCTTCTTTGTCTTCATCAAATGGCAACTCTTCACCACTGATCTCCAGAACTTCATCTTTGACATTCAATACAGCCCCAACTTTCTGGATAAGCTAACCGCACTATACAAGCAACATCTGCTTCAAACTCTTGCAAATTTTCACTTGCTCGTTGAATTCTACTTCTTAATTGCGCCTTGTAGACTTGTTGTAGATGGGCATCTCCGTAACGTTTGTCTAGTCGAGTGAACAAGGTCTGGTAACATTTTTCTTGACCCTTAGGGATTGATCTTAGGATATCCGCAGCATCACCTCGTAAAGTAGCAGTCAACGAAACAGCCTTTTCTTGTTCTGTCTAATGATTGGCTGTCGCAATAGCTTCAAACTGTCTAAGGTATATGGACCAAGAAGACTTTCCATCAAATGGTGCAATTTGAATTTCATATGATGTGTCGTTTCGTCTCTAGGTGATTCTTCTTTTACTACCGGATCTGAAGCTACTGCATTAACTGGTGGTAGCATTTTCGTATTAGTTATCATGCTCTCTAGCTGTTTGATCTTCTCTTCTACTTTATCGAATGTTTTAGAAACGCCTTCACATTTCTCATTGTTTTGAATATATACTTCGTCGAATCTTCTAGACATATTTTCGAATTTCTCGTCGTTTTGTCTAGCTGTTTCTTTAATAATTTGAGACGTTTCATCGAATCTTTTGGAAACGTTCTCGAATCTATCATCATTTTTTCTAGATGATTGTTCAATCATTTACGAGACGTTTTCAAATTTATTATCATTTTTTTTTATAAGTTTTTTTCAATCATTTGAGGCATCTCATCGAATCTTTTGGAAATATTCTCGAATTTTCCATCAAATATTTTAGTTAAAACGGCTTCTTCTGTAGATTTAAACTGGAATGTCTCTGGGCCGTCTCCATTCTTGTTGGTTATAGCTTTATGAATACCCTATATAACGTATTATAACTTTATATTTTTGTAATGGGGAAGGTAAGAAGATTTCGATATAAAATAAAATACAGGGTGTTCTATTAAAAAACATTTTGGTCTGCCACTATGGTATCGAACACCTTGTAACATTCTAACTAATTTTGTAATGTGAACCTCAAAGTTTTCTACAATTTTTGTTATTAACTTTTATTGCTATCTATTATGCGGACCTACTGAGCTTTATCACACTAATCAATCACCCTGTATTTTAGCTTCTTATATGTCAACATTTAATATATGGGTACGAGCCCCTTCCCATGTTAGTTGACCCACCTATGGGATTTACAGTTTATGGCGATTACCATAAACAATTTATAATCTACATGCTTTCATAAGTTTCTATATTGCGTAATAAATGGCAGTTTTATTAGTATTGATTCAACATTACCCTTACGGTTTTTTATTTATTTTTCATACATTTACATCAACATACTTTGATTTTTTCACAATTATCGTAAAATCAGAGGTATTGATGAAACAATAACATGAACTTAATTGTCAATTAATTTAAAATTTATGTTGTGACATTATAAAGCTTATTGCCGTTTGTGTGTTTTAAAATGGGCTGAGGTACAGTTATCGATGAAAAATGGCCGTGAAACTGGCACGTTGTTGGAAGACACTGTTCTAGATTAACATGTCATCAAGAGGTCCACAAATTAGCATTTGGTACTTATCAACATCAGTTATACAGTTAAAAAAAATCAGTACGAATTATTTTTGAAAAATTTCATTGTGTTTCAGGCTAAGAAAACATGTTAACATATTTTCCTCCTTTTAATAAGTGACTTCTCTGTTGAGGTTGGCAATCAATATGGCAAATTTCTCTCTGTTCTGGGCTTGATGAATTAATTCATTTCCTCTTGTGTGGGTCCAATCTCTGATGTTTCGTAGCCAAGATTTTTTCTTTCGTCCTATGCCCCTTTTTCCTTCAATATTGCCTTGTAATATTACCTGGAGCTGCTCAAATTCCCTATGGCGCATTATGTGTCCTAGATATGACGTCTTTCTAATTTTGATAGTATTGACCAGATGAGGGCGTGTGTTCATTACTCTCAGTACTTCTTCATTTGTAGTTCTGCTGGTCCAGCTTATTCTTAACATTCTGCGGTACATCCACATTTCAAATAAATTTAATTTGTTGACGTCAACATTTCAAATAATTTTTATTTGTTGCGTCATAGGTTTTTGTTCCACAAGAAACATTTTGTTTTCAAGAGAAACAAAATATTTTCACAAACCATACTGCAATCAGTTTTATTAAAGATGTTGACAGATAACAACGAAATTGCACTAGTTTTCTGACAGTTGTTCCTCCTACAGGACGAAAAAACGCAAAATAAAAGACTACTTCTTGTTCACTACTCGAGCGGTTTCAATAAGGGAATTCCAAAAACACGTTGCGCCTGCGTACATTGAAATGTTTCGATACAAAACGACGATCCAGTAATCAACATCAAACAGACTGACTGAAACTAAATGAGCTTAAACATGCTTTAGACACACGACTAATCAGTGTGCGTCAGCTCATTTCATTTATAAGGAAACATCAGCATCAGACTCGTTTAGTCAAAAACGTTTTTGTCTAAAACAGTTTTGCTCTTTCTGTGTGCGGCCACCCTAAATGTCCAGGTCTCACAGCCATATACTAATAGAGACCACACATAACACTTTAATGTTCTCAATCTTATTGAGACTTATGCTTAGGGTTACAGAGCATTTTAGGCATATTTGTGAAACCAGATCTTGCTATTTCAATGCGTCTTCTAATTTCTTTTGAGTGCTCTAGTTAACTATTTAGCTCTCTGCCCAGGTATCTGAAGCTTTGAGAACTCTGAAGGGTGATACCATTTATTTGTATGTGAGGTGTACCTTGTTTATGGGGGTTTTTGTGGAATACCAGAATTTTGGTTTTGGAAAAGTTTATGTCCAAGCCGAGCCTGTGACTTTCTTCTGATAATATGTTCAACAATATTTTTAGTTGGTCTTCTGTTTCTGCTAATACTACGGTGTCATCGGCATATCTCATATACAGTGTTCGATATCTGCCTTTCATTTTATCAAAGTTTATATCTTATATTGTTAATGATGATTCCATTGACTCTGGCACCTTCTGGGCGATCTTCAAGAGAAGCTCTAATTATATGTTGGGCATATGATGTACTTGGTGTTTCAGTTCTCTGTTTGAACGCATCCTGTGCATCCTGTGTTAACATTTTAACAAAAGAAAAATAGGTTGAAATGGTCAAAAGTGCACATTCACAAGAGTTGGACACATTTACGACGGAATGCAATGCAATGTAGTGATGAGTCCAAATTTGAAGTGCGTGTTGCGGACAATAGAAGTCGCGTTATTCGCAGTAAAAATGAAGCTTTTTATACCGACAGTCTCAAAAGAAAAATCAAATTTCCTGCGCCTGTCATGATCTAGAACAACATATCGCGGGAAAATGACGGGAAAGTTGCATTTTGTCGATGGATTGTAAGTACTGACAAATATTTGAAGATTTTAAAAAAACTTTTTTACTGATTAGGAACAAAGCTTAACGCCAGCGAACAATTTTGTCTTACAACAAGATGGCGCAGGTTGCCATACCTCAAAAAACAGTTTAAAATAGATTGAAGACCATGATATATCACTTCCGGAATGAGTTTTTAACAGTCCCGACTTGTCTCTTACAAGCTTTGTAGCGCGAATTATAAAAAGCATTGAAGAAGTTTTTGCAAGAATTTGGTAAAAACTATGCGTCGAAGAATTTTGGATGGAATTAAAAATAAAAAGGATGTCAGTGGTAAACTTTCACATTATTTTTGCTATTATTACATATTCTATGCGTTTTTTTATTTGTTGCTATTACGTTTAATTAAAGGTTTTCATTAATTTAAACAAATATATATTTTTAATTATGGAAATACATGAATTTTCAACGAATTAAAACTTTTAAAGTTTACGCTGGAGTTTTTGTTCTCTAAAATTTATTATTACATATTTTTTTCAAATCTAACGTCATGCCAACTGATGGGCTTAAATAAATGTTTCTCTGATTTAGTTACCTGATTTTCCAACACCCCCTTGTCCCAGTACCATGACCTTGATAGTTTTTGGTCGTCCGAATAGTCCTAGTTTAGCCAGAGAGGATTTTGGCGATATTGCGTTCATCTCCTACACGATCATCTGTAACAAAAATAAATAACTATAAATATACCACAGTCTGTTAGTAAATAATCACTAACAGACTGTTGCCTAAGCTAGATTTTCAAAAACCATTAGAGGAAGCCGGATTTCAGAGTGACTTTGGAACTACTGACCACCTGCAAGTAATAAAATCCTTGATGGAGAAAGTTATAGAATACAACAAGCTATTGATATTAATATTTGTAGACTTTGACAAAGCATTTGACTCAGTCCCGCATAGCTCCATGTTAAGAGCTCTTACAGAGTGAAGTATTGATCACAGGTACACAACTCTTCTTTGGAACATATATAATAGCACAACAGCTATTAATAGAATGTAATACGTTGACACAAACACATTTCTCTTAGAAAAATATATTACACAAGGAGACACCATCCCTCTTAAACTATTCACCGCTTTATTACAGAGTAATTTGAGACATAATAATTGGAAAATTATTGGAGTCAAGATACTTAAATGGGAAGATTCTGAACAACTCGAGTTTGTGCAGACGACATGGTCCTTATTACAGACTGGGTAGATCACGCATGCCAACTTCTTTAAGACCTTCAGAGCTCTTGTACACGATTTGGTGTTAAAATTAACTTTTCCAAAACACAATACATGACCAACCTTGTACTGGCCAAAAATATTTTAACTAATGGAACGCAAATTGAACAAGTGTATAAGTATCTGGGCTACGAGATTAAATTAGAAAGAGAATCAAACAACAGAGTTAAACAGAAGAATAGAACTAACATGGGTAGCTTTCAGAAAACTGAGGGAAGTCCTTAGATTAGATATTCCCATGTGCTTGAAAAGAAAGGTCTTTGATCAATGTATACTACCAGTTCTAACGTATGGAGTAAACTGCAGTTTACACCATACTACTACTAATATAAATATTTATATAAATATCTCAAAAGAAGTCGGTTAGATAGCTCAGCGGGCCGTGCGGCTGCCTCTCATTCGCTTCACTGTCGAATGGCTCAGTGGATGTGGGATCTAGCCCCAGCTGGGTGTACAGAAAACAAAAAGTCTAACGCAGCAGTTTAAAATTCTAGATGAATCTGCGGCTTAGACTAGAATATGCTGGGATCTGATCGGCCTATGGTGGAGCAGTACGGCAAGAGATAAGGGCTTGCGGCTCGGTGATACTCCTCCATAGATCCCTACCGGACGGGCGTAACGCCTAAAAAACCAGATATATATATATATATATATATATATATATATATATATATATATCTCAAAAGAAATAAAAAAAGATTGACCGACCATTTACAGCTTTTACTGGACATTGAGAGCACCCATTATGGACCAGGAATCGCTGATTAGAGGTAAAAAAATAAATATGGCTCTTTTATTCTATAAAATTACAGTAAAAATCATTTTTTTTAAACTGGGAGAACGTTTTCGAAAAACTACTACACCAATCTCAATAAACCCTTTTTATACTTTACATATACGACTACTAAATAAACCTCTAACAAGTGAAAAAAACCAACACACCTTTTTAGTATAGGATTAAATTCACCTCCAAAATAGGCGTTTTTTCGAACTCGTTATAAAATTGAGTATAAAGGCCTTAAAAATATAAAAAATAATATTTATTACCTATAAATCTCACTCATGCATCATGCATCTTTTGGAAGACACCCATTTTGGAAGACACACCTTCTGCAGTGGTAAAACACAACTGCAATTTTGTTGTATACCACAAAACCTTCTTAACAATTAAAACACTCAGATGCAAAAAACACAATGGAGAAAATTTTGGTCAAATTCAAAGTATTTCAATTTTTTATTTTTTAGCCCTATTATGATGATTTTTTTAGCACACTGTCTATAAATTTATAAATTTTAATTTGGTATAGTCAGTTTTTTGTTAAAATTTTATATTTGACTTATTGTACGGGGTTAATTAAAACGTGGTTTTATTATCCTAACTTTAAAACATCCTGTGGAATAATTCCGTTTGCGAATTTTCGTAAAACCTTTTGTGTTGTGTTTTTTGTTTCTTGTCAAAATATACCTTGGTTCATTTTTTAGAGCCAAATGAATTTGCCACCCACAATTTAGGACTTTTTAAATTTAGGACACCTACATTTTGTTTACCTATGGTTGATCATGGTTCTTAGTGAAGAAGATTGTGCGAAAGCCGTTGCTCTGGTTCAAGATGGTCGAAATTATGAATATGTGGCTAGAGTACTACACACTCATCGCTCTACCATCCAAAGGGTAGTGGAACATTTTATACGAGCTGGAAAAACAAGCGTAAAGCGGAAGTGACAGGAACCGCAAAACTACTGCTTTAGATAATCGTTTTTTACGAGTAACGCTTTGCGGGAACGTCATTTAACAGCAGTGCAAACAAGAAATCAGCTTCAAGAGGTTCGAGGCAATAATGTAAGTGTACTTACAGTTCGTCGAAGATAACATAAATTTGGTTTGCAAAGTTGCAGACCAGGAACTGGACCTAAATTACTTTCACGGCACAGAGTAGCTAGACTACAATTTTCCAATTGTAATGGCATCATGGATCAGAGTTGTTGGACACATTCCTAAATGATATAAACGATAAAGAAGAGACAATAACATTTACCATGGAAAAGGAATATAATAACACGCTACCTTTCCTGGATGTTTTAATCTCTAAGAACGATACTGGATATGAGACTCAGGTGTATAGAAAACCAACACACACCAATAGATATTTAAATTTCAAATCAAATCACAATATTAATGTAAAAAAGGGAATAATTAAATCCTTATACGATAGACCCAAAATTACTTGTTCTAACGAAAATTCGTTCTTGGAGGAGAAACATTTGTTAACATCTGTTTTATTAAAAAATGATTATCCATTATCGTTTATAAATAAGGAATTTTCAACAATCGATCGAATAGAACAGAACAACTTAGAACGAGATCCTACAGCATACACAAGGAATAATACGAGGAAAATAACAATACCGTACATAAAAGGATTATCAGAAAAACTTAAAAGGATAGGAAATAAATTCAACATTTCAACAACATTCAAAACAACAAACACGTTGAGATCTATTTTGTCCAAAACCAAACCTAACAATGAACAAGAAAGGACAAAGAATTGCATTTATAAAATACCTTGTGAATGCGATCAGTTTTATTTAGGTGAAACATCAAGGCCATTAAATGTTAGAATAAGTGAACATCAATCTTATATTAAAAATAGAGAATTTGATAGATCTCAAATATGTAAACACGCATGAGATAATGAACATAGGGTTCAATGGAATAATTCAAATGTAGTCCTAAAAGAAACGGATGGTAAAAAAAGAAAAATCAAAGAAGCGGCTCTAATTATGCTAAATGAGACCAATTGTGTCGCAAATTCCTCGGCAGAATGTAGTAGGATCTGGTTACCAATATTGAAAGAGGAAGTTATTAATAAGAAAATACCAGTATTAGTAAGTCAGTAACATATAGAGGATACATCATTTATGTTTTTTAAATAACGAAACATATAAAATCAGAATTTTGGTGTTTATTGAAGGTAAACTAAATGCACGAACAAATACTTACCATGTCGGGATAGTATTATGAGGTTTTTTCCTGGTTTTTCCCTCATAATTTACTATGGAATCACTAACAGGAGAATTTACTGTCATCATGTCATGTGTTTGTCTTTTTAAAGACGAATTACATGCTATGATTTTTTTCTGACGGATATTCTCAAGTTAAAGTTGATTTCATGTAATCGAATGAACTATCTTATAAGTAAAGTCGTCCCAGGAGCGCAACTCAACAATATTGGCAATATCATTTTAAAGTCGTCTACTTTAAAATGCATAATGTATGTCTGAATTGTCAATATAAATGAGTCAGATAAAATTAAATTATTAGAAGAATTTTTCACTATGTAACCAAAAAACAAAATTTGTTTAATTTACTGTTTGTATTTTGAGAACGATTTCCGAAGTGGAAATTGAAACGTCAATAAACGTATTTTTATCTTTAATTGTGGCTTATTCCCAGTTAAATAGTAATTTATAATTTTTCAGGTAATATTTACATTGGAATTTAAGACAATGCAGTAATGTTCTTTTTACGGATGAGTTGATACTGTCTTCACTCATCAGATGGGAGAAAACGAGTATGGCGTCAAACTGGAGAGAGATTTGCGAAGTGCACTTTCAGTCCCCACGTTAACCATGGAAGAGGTTTGGTGATGGTATGGGCAGGAATATCCCGAGAGGGCATCACGTAGTACCCTTTTCTCAATATATCGGTGATGATATTCTATTAATGCAAGATAGTGCGCGACCTCACTCTGCAATGTGTGTCACGCAATATTTAGAGAAAGTTGGTATTAATAAAATGGACTGGCCAGCGTGTTCGCCAGATCTGAACCCAATAGAGCACGTTTGGGACATGCTTGGCAGAAATATATTCGCAACCTCATAGACAGTATGAGCCGACATATAAAGGCAGTTATAGAGGCTAGAGAAGGGGAGAGTTTAAGTTATTTTTTGTAGTTTTTCTTTGTTATTTGCGTACTTAGGTTGAAGTTACATTTAAGTTGTTTTTTTTATGTTTTGTTATTGTTATCATTGTTCATTAAAACCAAGATCATGTCGTTGATTTTAATCACTATTTAAATACAGTTGCATTGTTTTTGCATTTGAGTGTAGAAAAAATTATTACCATAAATATTTGTTTATTTAAATAATTTAAAAAATGTCTTTTTTCCCAATTTAGAAAGTAGAAGTTCCCTTAACATATCTAGGAACTGTTATGTTAAGAATCCTTTTATGTAATATTTAATCATTAATATGCGTATTATGAAACACGCGTCTGAAGTTTTCCACGTGTTTGCGTATCTAAAATATTTTGTTACTGTAGAACAATAAAACCTTCGAAATCCATTTGCATACTCTTCGCACGAGATATGTGAAAAACAATTGGCACAAAGAACCTCCAAAAGTGTTTACTCCTTCATCGTTATTCCACG